TCAATGCAATAACGATCAATATATCACTCCCAGTATCTGCTCCTATTTGGACTAAGAGAACGAGGTGTCCATGATTTCCAAAAAGCAACATTTTTTAGTTAAGTCGTCAGATTTAATCATAAACAAATCCTCATTTTATATTTTAACTAAACAATTTCAAGTTTTTTGACCGCTTGGAATGTTTAACACTTTATGTTTTTATCCATTTGCTTAAAATTCACAAAGTGTTTAGTTTTCTACGACTCACTGAACTAAATTATCTTCTTATATTTACAGATGAGAATGTGACGGTTGTGTTGCTCTTATTGTGTAATCCGAAAAATAATCCATCAGAGCATCGTTTAGTCAGTAAGAGACACGAGTTTCGACAGAAATATCATTATCAACGTGTTCTCTGCTCTGTCTTCAGCCAAATATATGATAAATATGCACTTTAACGCCTTGGACAGCGTACCAAACAAAGTTGTCAATTCAAACACCAATTTTAGAGAAATAACTTTCAAACGTTCATCTTTCGGAAAATGTTGCACTGAAATACTTCGACCTTACCGTCGGTGTCCTCTGAACCAAAACGAGCAGAGAGCGGACTCCTCCTGAGATTAGACACTGGAGCGTCAGGAGAAGATTCTCGGCCGCGGCTGATGAAAAACTGCAGATTTGTCATGAAGAAGCAACAATCAGCACATCCCATGTCATATCACATGCTCAGATTATGTGTTGTGGATTACTCTCAGCTACTACCACTTCAAATAGTTGCTGAAACTCTAAATAAACTACTGAGGTACAGCCATTTGCCTTTTGGCTAATGCTGATTAGCTGTGGTAGCCATCTTGAATTTGACTGACTCCAAAAGAGAAATGTTTGTAGATGTACACTAAATGTCATCTCCTGAATGATCTGGTCAGGGGTTCTAGAGATATTTTGCTAACAAACAAACAGAGTTTGTGTCAATTATCGATTGCACAATTTTTAATACAGTTCTTGCACTCAGAACATTTGTTAGGGGTTAATCTCAGGTACTACCACACCGAATTGTAGCTTAATATTTGTATAAAGATACTGAAGTATCACCGTTTTTGTGGCTTTGAACAGCAGCCGTGACATCCATCTTCAACTGGTCACTCTGAAAGTGGTAGATGTATCAAAGTTCATGCGCAATAATCCAGGTAAAAAAAATCCAACAAAGTCCAGTCAGGTCATCTGGACGGTTTCTTTTTTTTTTTTTTTTTTTTTAGACGTTTCATCCTTCATCTAAAGGACTTCATCAGTCTGAGGAGCCACAACAGAGTCCCACAAGCAGCAAACCCACATAGTGGACCAACCAGTTTGCTGGTGATAAGATGGTTTCTGGGGCTCGCCCTCTCCCCCGTCAACTCCTCTGAGGCAATCATGCCAAAGTGGTTCAAAACATCAAAGTTCTTGCTCAGTAATCCAGGTTAAAAAAAAATCCAACAAAGTTCAGTCAGATCATCTGGACATTTTTTTTTTTCAGATGACCTGACTGAACTTTGTTGGATTTTTTTAACCTGGATTATTTTTATTTTATTGTTTTCGTGTGCCTTTTATTTCTACAGGTAGTCTCATTGAGTCACGAGAACTCATTTTCAAGAGAGACCTGTCTTTGGGAGCAGATGGGGGGTTAATGAAGGTGGAGGCAGGCGTAGGTGTTTCACCTTTTTCACCCACATTTTGATGTTGATGGTACCGGGAGCTGAACCAGCGACTTTCCGATCGCAGGCCCATCTTCTCTCACTTCTGCGCCACCGCTCCCCAAACACTACTGAGCATGAACTTTGATGTTCTGAACCACTTTGACTATGGCTGCCTGAGAGGAGTCGACGGGGGGAGAGGGCAGGCCCCAGAAACCATTTTATCACCATCAAACTGGTTGGCCCACTATGTGGGTTTGCTGCTCGTGGGACTGGGTTCGTTGTGGCTCCTCAGACTGATGAAGTCCTTTGGATGAAGGACAAACTGTGTCAACAACAACAAAAACCGAAACCGTCCAGATGACCTGACTGAACTTTGTTGGATGTTGTAGATGTGCATCCATCAAATACTTTTTGCAAGTTTCATTAAAACCTGCTCTGTGGTTTATGAGATATTTTGCTGACAGGCAGACACACCAACCATTACTGTTCACCTTTCAGCAGCAGATGATGTAATCCTGTTAGCGGAAACATTAACCCTGCTCTCCCAGGCCTCGGGGCTTCTTTTGACCCCAGGGCAGCAGGAGTTGAAGGGATTTGAACCTCGCAGCAGCCAGCAGAGGGTGGACTTGCAACAAAAGAGAAACTGTCCCTCAGAGAATAATTGGATCGGTGGAACTTGTCCTGATGTTTGCTGTGTTCCTTCAGTGAGCTGATAATGTGAATCAGACGTGTAAATGCATCCATCCAGAGTCACGGCGTGTGTTTCACGAGTGTGTGCGACAGAAGAGTGGCACGAAGCAGCTCCAAGACACGTGGACTGGATCAGGGTTCATAAAACTGATGTGACGTCTCGTGCAATCCTTCAATTATTTTGTGCTGGAGGTGTTTAAGACCTTCTAAAGTTGTAGCTTTGAACTGTTTTCTTTGTTTCTTTTCACTTTATTTTTTTTTTTAGCCTGAACACATGTTGACCATCATCTTCAGAGATGGCAGCACTCATGACCTGAAAAGTCTCCACAGTTGGTTTTCATAATCATTGCCACACAGCTGACGGCAAGACGAAACCTCTTTTGATAAACTTTCTTTTCAGAACTCACTTCATTTGGGAGTGTTCTGCTTTCATGAAAACAAAAACCAGCTCTTCTATTTCTAATTTTCTAATTTAAATGACGGAACGCTCCGTCCAGTAATCATTTCCAAAAACAAAACAACACATTTACCAAATAACTTTTGTTATTTCTCCGACTGTGCAGACATTCAAATCGTTTTTAACAGGAATGAAAGCTTTTCTATTCCGGCGCCTCTTCAAAGCACACAGGGCTTATTTTCAGACACATAATGAAGTCTCTCACGCGGTGAGAAGAAAGGCACCAGGCAGGAGACGCTCTGCGGGAACTGCCCAGGATGGAAGTTTCACAATAGGCTCTTTATCTTTTGCAGTAAATAACAGCAAGGGATTTTTTTCAAAAGAAAACTGCAGGACTTTCAGATCATCTTTACCAATAAATGTGATTGATCTTCCATTTGAATCTTCACCAGCCAGTAGAAATTATGTCAAATACATGAAGATAATTAGAAGGTAGTAAAAATGTCCACAATGATTGATGATTAGGTAGGCAGGCCTGTTTCTGTCAGGACCGCCGCTTTGAAGGCAGCAATCACGAACTGTCACTTTGAGCAAAATCTTAAAAGGATAGTTGTCATTTTTTTAAGTGGTGTTCAGTCAAATAGTTGGTATTTAATGGCTTATCAGCCGTGACACCAGTCACGAGTAGGGAAAAAGTTTTTGGCTAGGCTAATGACGAGCTAAAGGATGAAGACTTCTGTCCTTTTCTCCATAATCCAAACCTCTGATGTCGTCAGTAAGCTAGTATGACTTTAAAATTAACCAGACTCTCCCTTTAATAATAAATAAATAAATAAATCTCAAATCCTTGAAGAAAGAAGGAAAATTAGAGATTTTTTTTTTACTTTTATTCTCAAAAATGCAGTGTGAAAGCTTACTGAATGATTCTGATTAAATTTACTGAAGAAAAGTAAAATGACTGTTAAAAACTCTAGTAGTTAGAAGGAATTAAAGACTATTTAAAAGCTAGAAATACTGTACTAAAAGGCTAGCAACTGAATTGTAGCTAAAAACTAAAAGTGACACAAGAAGACAATTTCTGAATCAGATTTCCAAGAGCACAATGTTTTTGAAGGAAGTGAAGAGATCTCACTGCATCTCCTAGGGGAATTTTATTTTAAATAAAAGTTAAATGAATTGAAACATATATAAACATTACAAACCAATATTCATGGCTTTATTCATGACTGAGCTGAACAATTCAATGTATTAATGGTTAAAATAGCACAAAGTTATCAAAACTCTGCTCCTGTAACCTGGAACACCTTGCAAAAAGATCTGACCCTCTCAACTTTGACCTCTCTAAGGGATTTTAAACAACTGTTAAGTTCAATGCAAAAATCAGTGCCGACATGTTCCAAGTATTTTACACCGTTTTATAATATAGCATGTTCTTTATTTTGTTTTACATCACTTCTTTTATTTACCTTTCATTTTATATGCTGTTTATTATTGTGTACCTCGTCTGTGTTTTTTTGTTTAAAACAGGTCTCTTGTAAATGACTTGTGACACAATGAGATTAATCTGTTGAATAATTAAAAAAGTTATAGTGGAAAAATTGTAAAAGAGAAAAAAATATATATAAATAGGAAAACAAATCACATAAAATGTATAGGGATCAGGCATGTTAGTCACAGATTTAAAAAGATTTAGCATTTAATGCTAACGGCTCTATTTCAGGGTAACACTACTCTCATGCTTTTTGTTTTTATTATAACATGTTTTTTTTTTTTTCATTTAGTAATACCAAAAATAAAAAGACACTTTCAATGTGATTTAAAGTTTCCTAATGTTTGTGTTGAACAAGTTTCAGCCAGGAGCTGATCTACCATGAGGAGATGGAGGGAAATTAGCCCGGGTAAATCACCAAACGTCCTGAAGAGGGTACTGTTTGTTTTAAGGTGGCGCGGCGGCTGACGACACAGAACCGTGGGATTCTGGGAAAAAAACAACAACAGGCGACTGAGACGTGGGGTTGGACACGCGGCATTTAACTCGAGAAACTCAATTAGCTCGAAAGCTAACGTGGAACTCGGAAGTTTGTTTATTTTTTTTAATGAAACAACGATCCCTCGTTTCACCGCGAACACAAGTCCGCGGCGCCTCCTTAAATAAGTGCTGGCACTTGAGAGCAGAAAGGAGAGGGTTCAGAGGAGGAGGAGGAGAGAGAGAGAGGAAAAAATCACGTGTTTGGAGATCAAAGGAGATCCGCTTTGTAGAGGAGGAGGAGGGTGAGAAAGAAAGAGGGAGGGAGGAGAGCCAGGCAGCGTTTGAGGCAATGTAATTGACAAGAAGGCTCGGAGTGGCGAAATAAACACGCTCGGGATTTGTGTGTTTTTTTTTTTTTTTAATCCCACAACCCGAGCTCCTCTGCGGCTACACCTGACCCCACACTCCCTCCAACCGATTCGAGTGAACCCGTGTGAAATTATGTCCCGTTCGGCGCACGTCCAGCCGGCAAGATGATGACGCTTTCACCGCGGAGAGGCTCGGAGCGTGCGCCCGACGCGGTGCTCCTGCTGTCGGTGTGGCTGCTGCTGCTCGCCGCGTCTCCGCGCGGGGCGGCTCTGGCCAAGGATACAGCCTTTGTGGAGGTGGTGCTGTTCGAGTCCAGTCCCAATGGAGATTATACGACGTACACGACTGGCTTGCAGGGACGCTTCTCCAAAGCTGGAGCCACGATCAGCGCGGAGGGGGAGATCGTACAAGTAGGTGGAAGTTTTTGTCCCCGAGGATGACGCGGGGCCACACGGACCCGAGCTGGGCTGCAGTCCCACCAAACTGGCCCTTGGAAAACTTTTTCCACAGAGAGGCTGTGGGAGTTGACAAGATGTGGTGTGCGCGTGTGTGTGTGCGTGTGAGGATGGTAAGCCTGCGAGCATATGCGGTCACAAGATGGCTCCTATCTTGTGGAATTCATCCACAGGGGAAACATGCTGTTGCAAGTTGTTTTCTGGATGTCTGGAGCTCACTTGTTGCTCGCTTCTTTGTTTAAACACTCAACTGGTCCCTCAGACATCTTGGTCACACATCCCCAAATGTGGTTTGTAAACTTTTATGCATTAATTAGGGCTGTTTGTGTGAAACTTCTTGCTTTTTATATATTTTGTTTCATCTTTATTTATACAGGAAGTCTCACTGAGAACTCATTTTCAAGAGAGGCCTGTTTTGGGGAGTAAAGAGTCTTGCTCAAGGGCCCAGAGTGGGGCAGGTGCGGGTGTTTCACCTTTCCCTCCCACGTTTTGATGTTGTCCGGGGAGTCGAACCGGCAACCTTCCGATCACTGTTGGGCGGCTGTGGCTGAGTGGTTAGAGCAGTCGTCCTCCAATGCGAGAGTTGATGGTTCGATTCCACCAGCAGTCGCATGCCGAAGTGTCCCTGGGCAAGACACTGAACTAGGGGTGCACCGATTGCAGTTTTCTGGCCGATCACCGATTTCTAAAAAGTCCGACCTGCCCATTCCGATTTAGTTTTCTAAGCGACACTGTCAGGTGTCATAAGGTCACAATGCACCGTCAATTTTCCCACGTTATTTTATTGGAAAACACGCCCCTGAGCAATATCCTAGAAACAATACGAACTTGTTTTAACTGGCCGTGAGGCGGTGCTCTGAAATATAAATGAAGTTTAGGCAATTGTTGTTAAAACTAAAAAAAAAATCGGTTTCTCGTGTATCGGCTGATTTCCGATTTCCCAAAATTAAGGAAATCGGGGCCGATAAATCGTCCGGCCAATTTACCGTTGCACCCCTACCCCTCATTGCCTCCGATGTGTCCCATGGGTGCATGAATGTAGTAAAGCACAGATTATTCTTTGTAAAAATGTAGTAGAGCGGTATGAATGGGTAAACGAGGACACACATTGTGTTGTAAAGTACGTTGAGTGTCTCAATAAGATAGAAAGGCGCAATACAAGTACAGTCCATTTACCATTTACTTTGTGCCACGACTCCCCAATATTTTCACTGCAGACCATTGAATTTAACCTTTGACTCCTAAAGGGACTCATTGCAAAGTCATGAAGCTCGGACTAGAAGTAACTGTAAGGTTATAAAGAGTGTCAGCATAATATTCTTCTTAAGCAAAATGAGGGACCATACGTTTGTTTATTGGGAAAACGGCTGAGGTGACTTTACCGGTGTGCTTGATCCCCGGTATTTAATCTAGATGGTTATCTATCTCTCTTTCTTTTATTGTTTTTGTGTGTTTAGCTGCAGGTTCACTTTTATTATCGAAAGCTTCAGGTGAATGCTTTGTTTACGTTGAGTGTGGACCCGCCTTTTAGAATTTCACATCAATATATCTGGAAAACTATTGGAATAAACTTTCGCAGATTGCGTCATTTCATATAGAGTAGTCCCTGGATTATCGCGGGCGTTACGTTCCAGACACCACCGTGAAAAACCGCAAAGTGGGCACGCTATATTTATTTTAATTAGGGGTGCACCGATACAGAAGTTTTTTTTTCCCCGATATAGGTACCAATAACGATATTGGTATCAGATCGGTGCATCTCTACCGATTTCTTTAATCTTGGGAAATCGGAAATGGTCCGATACTTGCATGAGAAACCGATTTAACCGTTTTTTTTTTAATTTTTAACAATTGTCTAAACTTCATTTATATTTCAGAGCACTACCTCATGGCCAGTTAAAACAAGTTTGTATTGTTTCTCTGTAAGTAGGACTAGGGGGGAAATATCGTTAATGGTTATCGGCCAAATACGTTTAAACGTATCGGATATCGGCCAAAAATCCCTACTTACGAGATAGTTACTTCTGACTTTGTGTTGCGAAACTATTTTTACCACGTCGGTTTCTCCGCTAGTGTTTGTTCCCTCCGTTGCTGTTCTTTGAAATTTGTCAGAAAGCAGCGTCCGGAAGTACTGTTGGCTTCTGGGCCGTGTAGTTCTTTTGACTTGTGTTACAGTGTAGGCTTATCGGAAGAAAACTACAAAATGACGGCCCTGTCCGAAGTATTTTTTCGTTTTTTTTTTTTTTGTCCTATTGGTTGGTTCCCACTCACGTTAATTTTTTTAAATCTCGTACCGTTCCAATCATTCATTCATTCAACCTTTATTTATACAGGTTAGTCTCATTGAGTCACGAGGACTCATTTTCAAGAGAGACCTGACAGACAACATATAATCACGTGGGTAATGTTAAGTTGTCAAACGTGCGTCTTGTGCAATATTACGTTGAAAAACCTGCAAAAAAGTGAGTCAGCGGAAGTGGAACCACGAAGTATTGAGGCACCACTGTACATCTGGGAACCTATTGGAGTAAACCTGCTCAAATAGTTCAGGACGAGCTGTTCTATGTTTGATTTCCAACTTAAACCCACGTCATGTGACTTCAGATATCCTCTGCGTTGATGCAGGTTATGCCTTGAAGTGGAAAGTAGAATTCATGTCACCGTCGTATAGTTTCGAACATAAAATTAGTATTAAGAAGAAGCGTTGATGCGCCCTGCTTTTATTTCCCGCATGGCACGTCAGGCGCTCTTGGCTGGAGCCGTCTAATACTTGGATCCAATTTTTGTTCACTTCGAACCACAAAATACACGAAGCGTTTCCTCGTTTCGAAGTGTTAATTTGAAGTTTTTATGGGCTAATTCATTCGTAACCAGCTTGGTCACAGTTTACACGGCAACAAATTTCAGTTATAACGAAGTTTGAAAACTTTTAAGGATGTTTTTCTTAATTTTTATCGGAATCCTGGGAATGCCTATTTCTCTTTATAATTTGTAGTCAGATCAATATGAAGCCGTCTTTGCGAAGTGCTTGTCCACATCTTGAAGTTTTGTCCGTTTTGTACCCTAAAAATTACAATTGATATCTAAGTTTGGTTCTTTCAGCGAGTCTGTTTGCTTAAGCTGTTTCTAGACATAGACGGTTATGGTAAATATAGACCTATCAGGTATACAATTGTAAGGTGATAACACTAAATAAAAAAATAGCAACAGTTCTGTTTAGGATCATTGTTTGTTGCATAGAATCAGAGAGTTGCAGGAAGTGGTGGTCAAATGGATGTTTCAGCAAGTTCACTTTGCGTCTGTTTACGGATGCAGGGCTGAACACAACAAGCAAGTTGTGGTGTCGTATTTCTGCAAACGATCCATCGTGTGTATGCAACAATTTGTGGCAGCTACTCGTTTATCTTGCTGTGCAATAATTAATCATCCAGCAGCTCCTCTCTGCAGCATCGTCTGACTGCAGTTCTGTGTTCCTGCCCCTTTAAACATGAAAACCGTGGCGATCGAAGGTAGGAACGTTCAAAACGAGTCCTGTTTATACACAGTGACGGACACTCGGCGCCACCCGCTAACCGCTCAGCAACGTCGGACCTCGGCTTTACATCAAAACCCGCAACTATTTAGGTTTGCTTTCTTCGCAAACACAGCCGCTGACCGCCCAGAGACGGCGGCTGTTTTTCAGCCTATAATGAGGGGCGGCTTGTCCAACACGCAGACACCGTCTTAGATTTCTTGTGCCGTACAGTAAATTCTGCCAAAAGATTTTTCAGAGTCCGAACTGACAGCAAATGACAACCTGGAGAGCGTAATTTTAAAAGCGTATCGGATTCCTCCCTTGCATACTCCTATACCACTTCAGGAAATTCCTGTGGCGGTTTACACTGGAATTAGGTTGAGCCAAACATTTTGATGCTTGTCTGTTAGTGACAGTGACCTCTGCTGCCATAACATTTGTCCGTTTTTTTTTTTAAACTTTGGTTTTATGTTCAGTGAGTCTTCCTGTGCCCTTCCAGTCTTCTGCTGTTTGATCGTAGCCCTGAGGGGTTTGCTTTGCCTCGTGTGTAGTAGTGACCCGGCCTCTGCAGGTACAGAGGAATGGGAGATGGTGGTGGTGGGGGGAGTTCTTGGCACCGATCCTGAGTAAAGCTCCGGCCACGATCACCACATGTACGCTCCCAGCTCTCCTTTTCTAATTCCCTAAAGCCAACACTGCCCCAGCTCTGCCTGAAGAGTGCGAAAAGTGGCACTCGCTGCCGAGGCCAAAAATAATAAATTAAATTAATTTGCTATTTCTTTCGATCAGCGGGTTCAGGTGGGGGGGAAGAGAGAGAGAGAGAGAGGGAGTACGATGATGTAGATCTGGCCTCGGTGCCAAAACCCCAGGCTTCTCAAGTCGAGTCCCAGATGACTACAGCTCAACACCGTAAATCATTTTATTAAGATGTGAGGCTGTTTGTGTGAAGCAACTCTGAAACTGATTTTATACAACACATGTCTGCCAATCCCTAATTGCAGTTATCTGTATTCACCGTATGTACCAGATCTTCTCCTTTCTGTTTAAAGTACTTTTATGTCAATATCTTGACAAAGGAAAAGAGGAAAAAAGTAGATAAGTGAGTAAACAAAGATTGGGAGCACTGGATGATTGAGCAGTTGGTCTTGTTATTAGGTATGTGCATGTGAAGCAAAATCGCTCTGAATTCAATCAGTAATTATTAATATTTTCTTAAATATTCAACCCTCCATCCCCCGTCCAGTTCCGCTGGTCCCGTCTAACCACCAGCCACAACCTTAAGACCATCATGCAACACTTCATGAAAACGTCTCTAAAGAAACTCAGCTCATCCTGCGATCCATACATGTTGTTGTTCTTTTCACTGGTCCAATGGATGAATGATGGCAGAATTTTAATTTCACCTTTATTTAACCAGACATAAACACTAAGAACGAATTCT